GGGGGGTTCTCCATAACTCCATGCTGTTCCACAATATCCAACAAAGTCGCCATTGATATCAATATAAAATCTGGCAAGTTCTCAAATCCAAAAAGTCTTCTGAATAGTAAAAACAGATGCAGTGAGAATGTCAAAGAGAGCTACATTTCACTAAAACATAAGTCAATACAATGAACTGGCAGGACGGCTTTGATGACTTAGGTTTTTCTAGTGATTATTATGAACTGTCTCAGTTGTTTACTTGTACAATAACATAGCTATGCCATTGGATAGCAGATACTGGATTCCTGCAACAGCACGTTGAAGCAGGTGTGGGGTTGGAGTACAAGGGTGGAGGAGAGACGATGCCAAATTTAACATCTAATATACAACTGAGAACTAGCCATAGAGCTACAATGAGATTCCACCACTCCTGTTAATTATCACGCCGTAGATGGTCAAATGTGTATGAATCATGGGCGAGATTCTGCATGAAGAAAGAAGTACATTAGAAAGAGAGAAAATGTTGGTCCAAATGTCAAGAGACTACAGTGATTAGCAGAGAATACTCAATCTGAACTGTAACCACAAGCTCACTGTCCAACAAACAAGAAAAGATTGAAAAGAAAAAGCCACTAAATGGAGCTAGAGCTGCCACAAATGGAAGATGCATTTTAATTTACAGAACAATATTAGTGCTGCTCGATGAAATAGTCCAGCCATTATCCCAAGGGATTAGTTTGTTCCAGAACTAGCTATGTTGCAGGCATTCTATTACACCAGAACTTCAAAAAGGTTATTTTATTTTTTTGGTAAAGTAAAGAGCTTACCTTCAAAGAGAGTAATTTTATCCATCAAAAAATAAATTCTGTAACTTATTGGTGTGTCTTATCATTATATCAAAGAAAAGAAAACACATCTCAAAAAGTAATAACTATCCAAAATTTCTGGGTGACAAGACGTAGAGAAACAGGAAATGCAAACTCTCATACAAGTGAGCCTTTACTACAGATAGACCACTAGAAGGCCAAGGTTTTGTTGGACAACTCTGGATTACCCCTGGATCAAATCTTCTCAGGCATGACCAAGGATTGGAAATAGATAAATACAACCAGCCAACTAGATGTAAGCATTTTGAAAGCAAACTAGGACTTGATATAAGGGGCAACCACTTATTATTTAAAATACAGATTTCCTAGCATGAATGAGACGTGCTCTAGGAAAGCAGAAAAAAGTTTCACCTCAAACCCAATTTTTTAGTTTCAAATATTCATGAACATTCCAAAACGGAAGGAGTGTCGTATTAATTCGGGCCGGAGGGAGTAATAGGTTTCAAAAGAAATCAATCTTGCTTGATGTTATTTACTAGAGAGCACTCATAATTTCATGCACAGTTACCAGCAACCCTTGAATACCTGTTCTTGGGCACGGAAATACATGAAAGGTGTATAGTGGAGGAAGTTTGAAACTCTGGAAGTATAAATATCAGCATATCTGCAGTTTCAAGTTAAAAAGATGTAAAAACAGTCCAGATACTTACAAAAATATTTTACCATCAATTAATAGGGGAAATGACATAAATTTTCACAGCACATTGACATACTTCTCAATTTGACGCATCAAGTGGCTTTTATCCCACAGACCTGCACGCGAAAGATAACCCCACCTGAAAGAGAAAATAAGGCAGATAGATTACCCTCAAGTCCAAATTCGTAAATTGAAAAAGAAACCATTCCTGTGAGCTCATCGAGAAAACATGCAGATCTGCAAGTAAACATTCCTTCAACCTTTATACGTTAAACTTGGTCGAGGTGATGTTGACTCACTCTGAACATTAAAATATCAACTAAGAGCTAATGAAACCATAAATAAAACTACTGTAAGAAATCTGAGGCTGAATTGAAGAGACAGGTAACTCCAAAAGAAAAATCTCCAAATCACCTTTTATTGAAAAGCTCTCCGTCCTCATCCAACATTGGACCAATTTTCTGGTCTAGCCTCTGCATAACGACAAGTAGCTTTTGCATGCTTTCTGTGAGTTCATTATCTTCCATATGTGTGGCAGCAAGGGTCTGATGCATAATAAGGCAATACATCTTTAAATTGGTTACATCAAGTAACAAAATGATAGGACAAAGGAACCTACATAAGTTACTAAGACATTGCAAATAGCCTTGTTAGAGAGCCAGACCTTTTTCTTCCTTTTTTGTCTTTTTCCAGATACTGGTTAAAGACTATAGCAAAACAGAACTATAACAACAGCATAAAAAAGTATATTCCCACACAACATACATCCAGTTCAATATTTTCCCCCCGAAGAATAATCCACCAGAAAAGTGAGAAAGAACTATAGAAGGGAAATTCTCAAACAAACTGCTTATGATCTGACAGAGTGTTGTACTCTGTTTCAAAGCTACATTGTAATACAATTTGCAGGCATCCATTTTCCTTTCGATGGTTTCCAGAAAAATAAGGATTAACTCTTTCTACCAACTTGTAATCCTGTAGGTTCAGCTTGCCATTGCAGTAAACACCTTCAATGAGATACGTAATACAATATCAAGAGTTAACAGGTGATACTTTGCATTTGATTTGCATAGTTCCAAGCAACATGTAAAATTGAATTTTGAAGACATTACTTGCAAACATGAAACGGGAGGAAGAATATTTAAGGTTAATCTACAAAAGAGCAAGAATATATATATGGTAGATATAGCAAACTTACCTGTGCAGGACGTCCCATGGTTCTCCTCTGAAGAGCAAGCCTAAGTTGGTTAAAAAGATCACCTAGAACCTCCTTTTGATTGATAAGATCAATCAAAGTAGCTCGATGTTGTTGACTATGAATTAAGGCATTATACTGCAGAATAAGAATTAAAAGCTTGTAAGATACTGAATAACACTGAAATAGAAAGCAAGTAAGATACTAAACTCCAAAAGATTCCACCAAATGGAACCCCCAAATCCAACTAATGGAGCCAAAAGGGAAAGACCCAATCCCAAAGATCTAACGAAGATTAACTAACCTCCTCTTCTAGTTCTCGACAAATCAAAGCAGTTCTCCACCGGAGATGGACCTTGGATACGCTTACATCCGTATATATATGATCACCAACATATAAGATTTCATCTCCATGGACATTGAGAGAACTCTCAATCATCTGAGCGCTTCCTCCAGAGTACAACCCACCTATAAGAAAATTATTAGCTCCAGCAATAGGTGCAGCTTGTAGGAAGGACAAGTCCTGTCCATGTTCAATAGCAAATATGAAATATTATCAATGGCCAAATGTTATGGCGATCGCTGGAGAAAACTCCTGACAAGTGAAAACTCAAAGAAGCCTAACACCTACAAAATTCAGATCCTAAATCAAAAGCAAGAAACTTTTAGAGGTATTTCAAGCACAAAGAAAAATAACATCATTTTTGCATGACGAGGTCGGAGGATAATCTATTTCTATTTTTTTCCTACCCTTTTTTTGGGGTCAAAATACATTGTTAGGGTCATGCTGTTGGGCTACTGTGCCAGTTCTTATGGGCCCTACGCAGTCCTTTAGTAGTTTTAATGACAGCCCATTATCGAAAACTCGGTCAGCTGTCACCATGCTTCTCCCACAACAGGATAACTACACTAGGAACATAGCTTAAACTCCAAGCGAATCTTTAGCAGCAGAATTTCTCTAACTCAAAGTTTCCCAAGGCAATTAAGTTTCCGTCATCTGCAAGCTGCTTTATTTCATCGCCGTAAAAGCAGTATGTACTCCTCAGGTATAAACAGATAAATATGAAGAATAATTTCAACAATGAGATTATCCGTTCCCCTTTCGGCCTTTCCTTCTCTAAATATCCATCTTCTGTTTCTCTTTTAATATATGTAACAATTACATTTAAGCATTGTTAAAATTAGCTACCACCCCATTAATCAGTTAGCTTGTTTCATCCTTCTTTTTCTTTCTGTTTCGGATACTTACTCCTTGAAAATCCTGAAGCCCTGAACTAAGCTAAGATGTTTGTAGGCTTTACTGGAACTTAAGAAACTAAATTTGACAAGTCTAATCCAATTATTCAAGTCTTACTCCATGGTATGCCATCCGAGGATATGGTGACCTTTAAAATCCAACTACTTTCATAATTGAAATGTATCAATAAGAAGCAAATTTCATTGAGAAATAAAACAAAAGTTACACATTAAGCCAACCATATACAACAACAACAAACTTAGTGTAATCCCACAAGTAGAGTCTGGGGAGTATAATATGTATGCAGACCTTACCCCTACCTTGTGAAGGTAGAGAGGCAGTTATCGATAGACCCTCGGCTCAAGGAATAGTGAAAAAGAAGCAACAAACCATAGCAACAACAAAGTAATAAGATAACGGAAGCGAACGGCAAAACGAGTAACAATAAACATCTAAGAATAAGAAAATAGAAAAATAGTACTAATACTACATGTAAGACTACGAGAAACTCTTGACTACCTATCAACCTGCAACCCTAATACTCGACCACTACATCTTCCTATCGAGGGACATATCCTCGGTAAGCTGAAGCAATGCCATGTCCTACCTAATTACCTATCCCTAAGTACTTCTTCGACCCTACCTCTACCTGTACTCAACCCGCCATGATCAACCTCTCGCACCTCCTAACCGGGGCATCTACGTCTCTCATTTTCACATGCTTGAACCATCTCACCCTTGATTCCCGCAATTTGTCCTCCACAGGTGCCACTTTCACCCTGTCCCTAATAACTTCATTCATATTCCTATCTTTCCTTGTATGCCACGCATCCATCTCAACATCCTCATTTCTGCTACTTTCATCTTCTGGATATGGGATTTCTTGATTGGTCAACGCTCGGTGCCATATAACATGGTCGGTCTAACCACCACTCTGTAGAACTTTCCTTTTAAGTTGATAAGAATGGACCTTAGGCCTAACTCAACCCCAAAAGCTAGTTTATGAGGTGAGGATTGCCCAAGTCATATAAGGAGACCAAAATACTCATAACCCACCGATGTGGGATACAACTCAACACCCCCTCCCCCTCCACGCCCTGGCCTGCAACTGGAGCGTGGACAATATGAATGGGGGCCCAACATCGGTAACAATAAATTGGGATGGGTCTGGCTCTGATACAATGATAAGAATGGACCTTGGGCCTAACTCAACCCCAAACTAGCTTTTGGGGTTGAGTTAGGCCCAAGGTCCATTCTTATCATAAGTCTTGGTGGTACATTCTTATTACACAAAACCATGGTTATTAAAAGCGCTCGCTTCTCGCTTTAAGCGACGAAGCGAGGCGAGGCGCAGGGGTTACGCTTTTCTAGAAAAAAAGCGACTCACACTAGAAAAGCGTGCTTAAGCGAGAAGCGACGCGTTAAGAAAAGCGATAAAAAGCTCGCTTAACTGAAGCTAGGGCTTTTTTAAAAATTTTGGGCAAATAAACATACGCTCCAAAGGCATCTGTTACCAAAACATTCGCTGGTCTTCTTCTCCAGCCCAGCGAACTCCAGCGACACTGCGACAGACCACTGTTGCTGCAAAACAGGTAAGTTTCTTCTTCTTCTTCTAGTCTTCTTCTTCAATTCTTCTTCTTCTAGTCTGCGACAGACCACTCCTGCTCCAAAACAGGTAAGTTTCTTCTTCTTCTTCTTCGTCTCTTCTTCTTCTTCTTCTTCTTCTTCTTCTTCTTCTTCTTCTTCTTCTTCTTCTTCTTCTTCTTCTTCTTCTTCTTCTGTTCTTCTAGTCTTCTTCTTTTGTTCTTCTGTTCTTCTTCTTCATGCTATGTTTTCTGTATTCTTCTGTTATTCTTCTTCTCTTCTGTTTTTCTTTCAATTTTTTTCTCCAGATTAAGCGCTCATATGTTGCCCTAAATGACTTCTTTTTGTTCTGTTATTAAAAGTGTTCTTTATGCTCTGTTTTCTGTTATTAAAAGTGCCCTTTATGCTCTGTTTTCTGTTTTGTTCTGTGAATTAATTATAATTTTTTTTGGTTGTTGATTGTAGTAAATTTAATTTGATTATTCAATGGCATCAAGCCAAAAAAGAGATCCAGCTTGGGCGTATGGAGTTGCAGTTGGCAATAATAACTCAAGAGTGCAATGTATCTTTTGTCAAAAAATTTATAACGGTGGAATACATCGTCAGAAGAGACATCTAATCAGTGGTTTTAGAGATGTCAAAGAATGTCCAAGTGTTCCGGTTACTGTTAAGAAAGAAATGAGAGATTATGTTGAGAAAAAAATGAGTTAAAAAATCCAATGAGCCATGGAGCATCTATGATTAATCTTCTTGGCGAAGATAGTCAAATGGATGAGGATGACGATGAAGTCAATGATATAATGAGGCCACCTCCCTCTAAATCTCAAAGAAAGAATTCAACAAGTGGAAGTGGATCATCTACCACCAGTAGCAATGTGAAAGGTCCTCTTAATTTTTTTTCTCACAAAAACCAAATGAAAAGAGAAAGGGTGAAGATGTTGACTTAGAATCTTGTAGGAAGAGTTTGAGGGAGCGTGATGTAGATGCTTTTGCAAGGTGGATGTATGATGCGGGGCTCCCTTTTAATTGTGTGAATTACACCGATAGTTTTGGTGAATTCATTGAGTCCGTTGGCCAATATGGCCCGAGAATGAAGCCCCCTACAAATCACGAAGTAAGAGTTCCTTGTCTAAAAAAGGAGGTGGAGAAGACAGACAAGATTGTCGAGGAGCATAAGGCGCAATGAAAAGTTTATGGTTGTTCCATTATGATGGACAAATGGACTGCAAAAAATGGAAAAATGGTCATTAATGTTTTGGTGAATTCTCCGAGGGGTAGTGTGTTTCTTGAATCTTATGATGCTAGTGACTCCTCAACCAATTCCAATAAAATGTTCAACTTGTTTGAGAAGACAATATTGAATGTTGGACCGGAAAATGTGGTTCAAGTTGTCACTGATAACGCAAGTGAGAATAAAAAAGCGGGTGACATGTTGAAAGGAGTTTTCCCAAATATTTATTAGACTCCTTGTGCTGCACATTGTATCAACTTGATGTTTGGTGACATTTTCAAGTTAGCCCCATATGCTACAGGTGAACAAGCGGTTCTTATTTTCTATTTTAAATTTTTAACCTTAATGTTAATAGCTTATACTTATTAACTATGAAATTTGACTTCGTACAGTTTTTGCTAAGGCGATCAAGATACATTCTTACATTAGTCAAAGGCCGTTGTTGTTGAACATGATGAAGAGATACACAAAACAAAGAAATTTGGTGAAACCGGCTAAGACAAGATTCGCAACAGCTATCTTGACCTTGCATACCTTTTACCTGCAAAAGCAAAATTTGCGAACGTTGGTCTTGTCAACCGAATGGAGTGAGAGTATCTATGCAAAGGAAGCTCTTGGGAAAGAAGTTGCGAGATTTATTATTGGTCCATATTTTTGGAATGACACTGTTCAAGCACTTAAAGTTGGTAATTTTTTGGTTAGTGTACTTCGTTTGGTGGATGGGGAGAAAAACCACCAATGGGATACATTTATGAAGCCATGGATAGGGCTAAAGAAGCTATTGAGAAGGCATGTGATCATGATAGGAGGAAATATGAGAGAGTGTTTGAAATCATTGATAAAAGGTGGGATGATCAGCTTCATCAACCTTTACATGCAGCAGGGCATATTTTGAACCCCGGATTGTTTTACACAAACAATGAGAACAAGATTTTAGATTTAAACATTTGGAAGGGGTACCATGCATGTGTTGCGAAGTTGGTGCCAGATGAAGCGATGCAAGACAAAATAGGGCAAGAGCTTGGTGTGTATATGCAAGCCGATGGAATTCTTGGATTAGCTTCGACCATTAGAGGCAGAACCAAATTGGCACAGGGTGAGCAATTTTTTTCAATTGTTTTACTCTTTAGAGCTTTAACTTTCAAGTTATTAACTTCTAAAATAATACTTCTACAGTTGAATGGTGGATGCAATTTGGTTATGATATTCCTAACTTGCAACAATTTGCTATTAGAGTTCAAAGCTTAGCTAGTAGCTCATCCGGATGCGAGAGAAATTGGAGTGTTTATGAACATGTGAGAAGCTATATTACATTATTACTAAATTAAAGTTTATCTCAATTGTCCTAAGTACTCCTCTTAGTTACTTTCTACATCTGCAGATTCATACTAAGAAGAGGAACAGACTTGAGCTAAAGAAACTCAATGATCTCGTGTTCGTAAAATATAATAGAACATTGGCTCGTCGTTACAAAGCTCGCAATATCTGAAGCAAATGAATGGTTAACTGGAGGCCCAGAAAATCACGAAGAAGAAGAAGTGTTTGAAGGAGAAGGTCTCACTTTTGGTCATGTTGCTATGGCAAGTGGAGTTGAAGAGAATGTTTATGGTTTTAGGGGAAGTACTTTAAGGAGCAAAGAAAGAGTATCTACAAGTAAAAGTACATGTACAAGTAGAACCTTAATTAATGAAGCTCCGATGAAGAAGAAGATGATGATGACCAATATAATAACTCGAACATGATGACGCTTCAAGAGTTTGGAGATCTTGTTGAAGAATAGGATGTTGCTCCTTTTGTGATTTTGTTTTGCACTTGCTTAATATGTTATGACTTTTGAGGATTATTCACTATCTAGCTTTAGCATCTATTATTTGCTTCTTGATTCAAGAATTGAAACATTTGCTTAATGTGTTATTTTTAATGAGTTCTTAGCCATTTATCTATGCCTATTTTTTTTATTTATGTGTTAAATTGCGCTTCACAGCAAAAAAGCGTGCGCTTCGCTTCTCGCTTCTGTGAAGCGAGGCCTCGTCGCTTTTTTGCGCTTAACGCTTTCCAAAACACTGCACAAAACACCATAAGCGAGCATTCATTTCATCCACCCTGCTCCAGTACGATGTGTAACATTCTCGTCAATCTCCCGGTTGCCTTGGAATACAAACCCAAGATATTTGAAACTATCTCTCTTAGGGATGACTTGTGTATCAAGCTTCACTTCCATTTCGGCGTCATGCATCCCATCATTGAACTTGCACTCCAATACTCTGTTTTCTTCCTACTCAACTAGAAACTTTTAAACTCCAGAGTCTGTCTCCAAACCTCCAGCCTACCGTTAACCCCGCCTCACGTCTCGTCAATCAACACTATTTATCTGCAAATAACATACACCATGACACCTTCCCTTGAAAGTGTCGCATCAGCACATCCATCGCTAGGGCGAATAAAAATGGGCTAAGAGCAGAGCTCTGATGCAACCCTATTACCACTGGAAAATGTTCATAGTCTCCTCCCACAGTCCACACTCGGTCTTAGCTCTATCGTACCTGTCCTTAATCACCCTAGTGTATGCTACCGGAACACCGCTAACCTCCAAATATCTCCATAGAACCTCCCTCGAAACTTTTTCATAAGTTCTTTCTAGGTCAATGAACACCATATGCAAGTCCTTCTTCCTCGTACTGCTCCATCAATCCCCTCACAAGATGAATGGCTTATGTAGTCGACCGCCCCGGCATGAATCCGAACTAGTTCTCAGAAATAGACACTCTCCTCCGCACCCTCCTCTCTACCACCCTCTCCCAAATTTTCATACTATGACTCAGCAGCTTGATACCCCTAAAGTTGTTGCAATTCTGGACTTCACCTTTGTTCTTGTACAACGGAATCATCAAGTTCCACCTTATTCTTTGGGCATCCTCTTCGTCCTAAAAATGATATTAAACAATCCAGTAAGCCACTCCAAGGCTGTTCCGGCCGCGTCCTTTCAAAATTCCACTGGGATCTCATCTGGCTCATTTGCCAACCATATACAGAGATGGCGAAAAATGTTAGAAAAAGAAATTGTGCTAGAATGAGACATAAGGAGGAGATGATTTCATTTACTTATCAAAATAAGGGATGATTTTCGTATCATTAATTAGAAGAATTAATCACCTGGGCGAGCCTTAAAACAAGGACGCATTAGACCTTCACCAGTCACAACTTCATACATTGGGTGGGACATTTGGAAGAATTCCGGCTTCCTAGATGAGACTATAACCTGCAAATGATAAAGAAGGAAAATAGATTTAGTTACAGAACCATTTAATGTTTCAATAAATTAATCACTGGACAGAGAAAACAAGACCTCATAAATGCAATATTACCAGACTAGAAAAAATTCTTACTAATAAAAGGATTTCAAAAAAGACTAGCTCCAACCCCACACAATTTTTGACATTTTTCCCTTCTAGAGTTTCTTTCAATGATAACAATCATTCTGCTAATTGTCCTCAAGAATCAATCCATAAAGACCATCCAACTTGTGGATTGTCATTTTCTACCCAAACAAATATCTAGGCCACCCAGTGTAATTAAAAACAATTGGTTCGTCACTTAAAAAGATGAAACAATGCGAAGCAAGGGGTTATCGGCTTATCGCTTCATGGGTGAAGCCATGCGCTTCAGAGAAGTGTGTCCGCCAAATAATGATGCAAAACGTGATCCAAACGAGATTGTTTGGTTCTTTTTGTTGAATATCAATGTTAGGAGGTCGGTTTAATAATAAAGTTAGTTATTTTAATTGCAAGGTCCATGGAGGTTGACACAAAGAGCGAGAATTGAAGAGCATGCTTCTTTGAAGTAAAGCGTACAATTAACAAAAAATTGAAAAGTATCAAACATATATGAATTTAGCAAGGAAACCCAACCACCACCACCACCCCACCACCACCCCCAAAACAAAGAGGAAAAAGGAAAGGCAGTTAAGCAAGTACTTTCTATGACTTATTACAGAGATGAAGGGGGAACGAAAAAGAAGCTTTTGCCAAACTGTTAAGTGTCCCACATAGGCTAAGCTAATGAGTTATTGTTTCCTTACATACTATTGGACAATCCTCGTTCATGAACTAGTTTTGTGGATGAGTTAGACCCAGGTCCAAAAGAATAGCTGCTAAGAAATATTTTGTACTTGCCCATCGCCAAAGAAAAAATTACTGAAAAAGAAAATAAAAATACAAATAAAGGTGATCGTTCTCTCCTTTATGTCAGAGTTACATGGTTTCCTTTTTTTGTTCTTTCTTTCTCTTTTCTTGTAATTTGCAAGTTGCAACACCATTCTTTCCAAGTAGGATATGGTAAGAGTTATTAATAATCATTTAGTTTATGTCATCCAATTTAACTGTTGAGTATCCCAAATTCAATGAGGAAACAAGTTGTTGTCTCCTTATGGTCTTGGACAATCCTTACCTTGCAGTTGGCTTATGCCCCTGCTACATTTTCATAACGTGACATCAGAGCCAGACCCATCCTTATTCTTGATGTATGAAATGTTGGGTCCCTATGTCATGTTGTCCACGCTCTGGATTGTCAACACTAGGCGTGCGTGGTATTGGGGTGGCCTGTATTGGTTGAAGGAATGGATTGAATACGGGGTAATCCTCGTATCATGAGTTAACTTTTGAGTTGGGTTAGACCAAAGTTCTTTTTTTAAAATTAACAACATAAGAGGAGCTCAACAACAAGGAGAACTTATGCATTGATTGTCCAGAACTCAATATGAGCAGAACGATTGGGAAATGGAAAGAGGACTTTAATTTGTAGCACACAATAAAAGAGTCAAAATAGTTAGCCCTCAAATTCTAACTATGACATTTGGCAAGACAAAATTATCTTTTATATAATCTTCTCTTCAATGCATTAATACTATGAGATCAAGACTTAAGTGGCTAACTGTTGGAGATAAAGTAAATTAGCTATTATCGTGATCTTGTTCTACTTACCATCTCAAATAGATCTCGCCAGCTCATATCATTGGGAAGATACCGATTAAACGAATGCTGCATCATTTTGTCTGTGTAATGATAATCTGAATTTGTAATCAGCAAGAGCCTCTTCCCAGCCTGACGAAACATGAAATGTTAGATGCTAAATCAACCATCTTTTTTTGTTAGGAGCTCAAATAAATATTAAATATGAAATTGGACAACTTAATCTCACCCTTGATTGTCTTATTGTACCTTTACAGACTTGCTAGGCTAAAATCATTAAGTTTATTCATGCAAGGCTCTAAAATAGAACAATGATATTTAATTCAAATGGATAGAGTTACACCTCCTTTTGATCCAATAATGCCAAAGGTAGCTCAGGATCAGGCTCTACAAATAGTTCAGGTTTGGACATTATCTCACTCTGCATGGGTGACACAGATTAGAGTGATATTTCCAGCTCCCAACATGTGAAACTATGGATCAACGAAACACATACCTTCAGTTGACCTTCTACATGTGCCCTGAAGAGTGCCTTACCAACAGCCTAAATAGAATAGAAAAGAGTTGGCAAACTCAAGGTTCAGATCACAATCCATTCACGCACAGCATCCAAATCATACCTTGTAAAGCCCTTTATAATCAAGTGGACAGAGATCTGGTCCTATAACTCCTTCATCCAGCCTATCTACCATCTGCAAAAGAGATGTGTCTAGGACATAGGGCTAAAGTGCTGAAGAAGCAATACTTAGAGCTAGATACATTCTTCTTTGTTAAAACCCCTGATGTTCAAGAAATTTATGCAATTCGAATATAACATCGTTAAGCAGAAACAAGCAACTGGATGAAACTTTACCCAAATATAGTTTAGCAAAATATCAGCCTCTACCGAAAGGAGTAGTACTACGAGTATCGTAGAATTTGTTTATCAAAAGAGAGAACCACTTCAGTAAACATTACTTATTAGACTGATCTCATCTTTTGCAGGTTCAACAACAAATTAACTGAATGCGGAACAAAAACTTAAAATGAAAATTTAAAGCAACCATTTGCGAACAATCAAACTTCAGCATACATATCTAGCATCTTATGGAGCAAAACTCTGCAAGATTCTCTTTCCAGCTTGTTTATAACTTGTTTAACAAAGGAAAATATTCTTTCTGTAGAAAAGGGGATGAGAAATGAATATTTTTTGAAGACGGAGTTCGCTTCTTTGATCAATTTGGGCAATGGCAAAGACCAAAATCTTTTGCAAACTATATCAAGGCACCTCTAAGAGACTGCAATTGACCTTCTCTTCACTTCTGCATAGGTTGCCCTCTCGAGCCTGAGAAGCTTATAAGTAGGATGAGTAATAGTTTAGGTCAAACAGAGATTTTTATCCTCTTACCACAGTTTGTGGAGACGTCCTTTCTATCTAGGTATCAATCTCTTTTGGCAAATACGTGGTAGATGAGTGTATTCCATTTCTATAAAAAAAGGAAATATAACTACAGAAAGGATAAACCATCTTTTAGGAGAAGTTCTCCTCTATGAAAGGATTAAAAACAAGTAGCTTCATGAACAAAGCTAGAAAAATACTTTGCAAATCACATATGAATAAACCAATAAACAATCAATATCCATACCCTATGCCGCCTCCAGGGCTTTGGTTTAACAGTAGAGCGCAACACGTGATGTGTTGATTAGGCGTACGGCACGGGTTCGAACCTTGCCGTAGACAAAAGCGCAGTCTTTTAGTGGAGAAGGATAAAGGGGCGAGCCCATCATCATCCGAGTTTCGGACTGTGCGATACTAGCCCTCGAGAGTTATCGGAAAAAAATATCCATGCCATGCCAACTATAGAATATCCACTTTTGAACTGCAAAAGCACCAATAACAAACCTCGTGTTCACCACAATCTGACGCCCAAAGTCAAGAGATCATCTAAAGTAAGCACCTACTTAAGGAAGATATTCCACAATACCTAAATCAGCCTCCAGCTCAACCAGGCACCTATAGTCCACAAGCCCTCAGTTGTGCTTATTCCAACAATCATTTTCTTAGGATTGCAAGCCTGAGGAGACAAGCTACACATGGAATTAATCATGAGACTATCTTAGGTCTTTTCCTTAATCTTTCTCCCTCATCAATCGCATTACAACTTTTCAAACTAAACATTCTCTGAACATGTCCCTACATAGTATTGCCAACACTAGCCTACAACTTTACAGTCTTCTACTCCGCCAGAAATGCATTATGCACTACTCTTGGAAAAAGAATAAAGAGATTTATTATACAAAATCGCTATCGTATCTTCTTCCTAATAACTTACCCGCCCACTTTCACCATATTTTACTATAATTCACCACCATACTTAGCTGGCGCTTCCTTAAGAAGCTTTGTCTTGACATCCCTCGTCTTCCAATCTTTTTTTAAAATCAAGAAATCTCATAAATCTTTGCTTGATTCAGAAGTTTATAAGGCGGTGGAATGACAGAAATACCTTCAAGAAAAATTGGTTTAAGAAAGTTCCTAAAAAGAACTCAAGGATCAATGACACTTTCGTTAATAAGTTGTTGGAACAGAGCTAGCTGGAATCCTCTGTGGAGAAGGAAACGTAAAACAGAGAGCAGTAACGAAGCGACCTTTCAGGAATGAAGAGTGTCCATCCCCTTCATGGTCAAGCGTTTATAGAGGACACCAAGATATAAACCAGGGCAATAAAACAGGCCATACAACCTCTGATCCTAGCAAACTAGAACATTAAATTATTATCAATCAATAAATAGCTCAAAAAGAAACCAAACTCAAGAAGATCCCTAAAACAATTACAAAACAGATAATCAAATCACCTCAACCAAAAAGAAAGAAACATAACAAATAAAACAATGATTAATGAAAACCCTCAACCTACAATGATCTTTTTTTTAATAGGAAAGTAACTGCATAAAGAACAGATGGAAGTCATACAAATCCTTTCACAATAAAAAAACCTAACAAATGTATATGACAAACATGAAAAAATAAAGTCATTTAGTAGGCAGTCATGGCATGGTATATTGAGGGAGGCCAAGTGATCTACCTGCATATAAGCCACTGCTTCTGAAACTGAGAATAGTGTATTGAGGAACTCCCATCTGCTCTCCTTACGCAGATCAACCAGTTCTCTCCCGTAAATCTCACTTCCATACATAGAAAATATGAGATGCTACCCAAAATGTTACCCAATTTTCCACAGAGCACATAAAATGTGGAACATTCATTCAGATTTTCATGGAGCAAATAAATTTGAAACTTTCCCAATTTGCAAAACAACATTTGTGGACCATCTTTGCTATAAAAATGGATATATGGATCGATATTTGGAACTGATTAGCAGGCACAAAATCCCAAGCCATACCTCACTTCTCGAGTTGAGAGCATTCTCGTTCCATGCATTGCCCTCTTAATATACCCAAATCTATCTGCTTTAACCAGGTTACCTTTCTCTTTGTCTATTACAAGACCTCTAATCACCTGTTTTCCAATGAAATGTCCTCAAATGGGTATTAAAGACAAACCATTAACATGATCACATGGTCAGACTATACCAGTTCAGGGTCAAATGCAAGCCCATCCACAGGGAAACCCACACTTCTCAGATTTTCCATGCAGTAATCATAAGCCCTTCCTTCCCAGGCCTGTACATTATTGGACTTCGTCATACTATACCAGTAACCAATGACAAAAACAAGACAATTTAAAGCTCCTCAAGGGACAAAAAAAAAAGAATATACATGACAGCAATGTATTAAAACTTTTATAGTCTAAATGCTAATCAATGGCACTTCCAACAACAACCTAAGAGAATAAAATTGAAAAAAAGTGCAACTCAAACAAGCAACGTCAATGAAATTAGGGCAAACAGAGCACTTTTTCTTTTTTTTGATAACACACAAAGCATTTTTTCCTTTTCATCAGAATTCAATAGCCTCTAACACCTAAAAGAAGTATAAACCTCACAAGGCACCAAGATAAAAGAATTAGTAACAAATAAAACAGATATATGGATAAAAACTGCCTACGATGCCTTATAGGACTAGTTCCCTGCATAGCATTGGCATATCATTGTCCTATGCAAGTCAGAAATCAAGAAAATAATAAATGTGGGGGGTAAATGAAAGAAATAAATGTATATGCAACGACACATTTGCCTGAATTTGTAAAAAGGAAACCACAAACTAATATGTCACACGAAACAAGAACTTACCATCACGTTATAGTGCATCAGTGTATAGTCCATATCGTAACCAATTACACTTATTGATCGTAGATTTAATGTGCGTGTGCAGAATATGCCACGGGGGGAATGTCGAGCAGAATGCGGAACCTGCACCATTATATGAGTCAGATATTGCAAAGATCAACATGCCAATGCTACAGCTGCTTCCAAAATAAGAGGTGACAAATCTTCAGTGGATTTAAACATCAGAGATGTCACGTAAACACTGCAAGCAGTTAGCAAAATAAGATGCTAAGATACAATGCCTTTTTTTAGTTCATGCTGTAAAAGCATTTCAATGAATATAACATGCAGAAAAGCCCACAAGAATCACATGTCCCTCTCTCAACACTGAGATATACATAAGCTTAATTTTTCCCTAGTTGAGAGGGGGAAAAGCTAAATCTCATATTTAACGATAAGATAAGAAACATAAGAATCTACTACTATAGCTTCAGCCAATTAAGAGACTAAATCGGTCATTCACTTAAAAAAAACTTCAAGTAATTATATGATTATCACAAGATGAAGCTTTGTACATAATCATACAAGATCATTTACACACAAAAAATTGATTAGCATATAAATTTTGAGCGCAGTTAAATGGACCATTGTCTAGTTGCAATTTCACATCCAATTGACATCCAAAAAAAGAACGGTACTGTTCATAGCAAACAGTAAGCACATGACACGGAGCAAAAGTGTTTGCTCATTGTAAGAAATTTCAGCAAGTGATACGCACAACAAAATGCTAACTTGATAAATGCAATACAAAGACAAGGTCAGTATTACAGCACCGGAATGCCCAAGTGTTTAAGCAGGTTCTCTGCTTCTTGAGCTTCCATTTTTGCCACCTCCTCAATAGGGCCTTGCAGTGCCTGGCCATCAATTCCTGCATCATTCGAAGGTAAAATGATAAGGAAAACACCCTACTATATACACCAAAAGTTGTATCTTCTTTTCTTTTGCTTTTCTATTTAAAGCTCTGTTTAATTTGAATAATCAATTTCATTCATTATAATTAAAACTTCAGTTATCATTACAAAGCCACCTTTTATTATTATTATTATTATCAAATGCAAGTGATCAATAAAACTTTCATTTTTCCGATGCAGGTCATTACAAAATCTTCCATTTTATGATGCTTTTGCCTCGACACAAAGTTTGGATTGTTAATTTGACTTGCGTATTATATAAGTGTGTAGTGAAATAGTGGTTAAAACATTAGTTTGATCAAGAAAACCCAAATCAAATTTAGAATTTGAATAGTTCATTGAAGTTAAATTCTTGATAGTCACCTTTATTATAATTAGCGGAAACCAAAATACCAAGAGTATCATATAAACTGGAACAAAGGGCTAAAGGAGGATTTGAATAACCATAAGCAATTTAAAAGCTACAGCTTTTTTGTGAATTAAGCGATTAGTAGAAGGGGAACCTTGGGACAACACTTGTTGAGTGTGTGTGAACAAAGTCCCACGTGGAAAGCAGCAAAGAAAAATGATCTACTTATAAGGAATTGGATACTATTAATGTTGTAAGGCCTTTTAGGGAAAACCGTGCGGGCTTTGCCCAAAACAGACAATATCACACCATGTTAACAGTGTCTTTGGGCCGTTTAGTCCAATAACTGATATAAGAGCCAACGGTTTGGCGGGACTATGGAGATGGCAGAGTGTGGCGTGGGGCCCGACTTAGTACCTTTGCCCGTCTACGAGGTTTACGACTTTGAAGATGCATATACAGCCTTTGGGCTTCGATGACCGTAAATACTTAAGATCATGTGGGTGACACACAATTACTTCCAAATTAGCCCATGAATGGTGATGAGCCATGTGTAACTTACTTCAAGGGGAAGATTGTTGGGTGTGAACAAAGTACCACATGGAAGTAAAAAAGAAAAGAAAAATGGTTTACTTATTAATGGTATGAAGACCTTTTGGGAAAAGGCGTGCACGTTTGCCCAAAACGGACAATATTACACCGTGTTAAAGAGTATTTTTGGACCGTTGCATACAAGACCCAATGTATGGTCCAATCCCCACCCCAACCCAACCAAACCCAAAAAAAATGTGGAAGCTTAGTGCATCAAACTGGCATTTTTAAGCAATGAGCAACACATACTTAACTAATCAGAATCAATTCAAAAGCTCAACCAAAGAGGCCAAAATCCTCTTCTTTTTTTGAGCTTACTTGTAGAGATGTATGGAATAGTACCAAAATTGAGGTTCAAATCGCCTTTGGTGCTTTGACCAAGGTAATCCACTTCAGACTTTGTGTTAGAAGTAACAACTGAGAACACATCTTCGCCAGGTGGCACCGACGTAGTGGCGCAGCGGCAAGAGAACCCATTTACATGAGCATACGAACTAGGCGAGCGTAACACCAATGCACTGTTAGAGAATTTAACGGGTTTTGGCAGAAGATAAGGACTTCCAGTAGTACTATTTGGTATATTCATGCAGCTTGCTACAGATTGGCAAACTGTCGAACACCTCATGTGCATAAATTTGCGGCTGAATTCCAACACCCAAACCCAAAAAGAGAAATGTTCGATTGGGTGTAGTTAGGATTTGGAAGTCGCCGCTACTTCAACAATGGAGAGTGACGTTTATACTTTACTAATTTCGTAGTGCCAATGATCGTGAAAGTTGCTACTTTTTCCCCCTTTCTCTACTTGTCAACTATTGTAAGGAAGTTGACACTATTTTTTTATACTCTATTTTAAAATATAATATATTTTGTAAAATAAAAAAAGTAGACAAAGCCAAATATCACCTAGGGTTTGAATTTGATTTTATATTATTTGATGGGGTAATAGCATTTTTGGTCCCTGGATTATTGGTAAATGCTAATTGAGGTCCTTTATCATATATGAGTCAATACATTTAATCTCAGTTAATTGAAAAGTGTGATTTTGCTCCCTTTATATAGGAAAAATGTATTTGAACTATTTTTTGAAGTATAATATAATATCCTCAAATGTAAAGTAACAGTACAAGATTAACATAACAGTACAAGATTATCCTCAAATGTATTGGTACTTTTTTCTTTCTTCTTTATTCAGGAGAGGGACTTTGAAGTGGTTGAATTAGTCATCTGCTGATTTATCTCTTTCTTTAAATTTGACTAATAGTTAGGTGGTGTGCAATGCAAATCAGTGTTATTAATACCTTTGAAGCACATTTAACATATAAATCTTACTTTTAGACAAAAGCTATAGTCAAATAAAATATTGATTGTTCTAGAGGAATAAGAAAAATGGAAGTGACTAACAAATATATATATATAATCGGCAAAAGGATTAATCACTTGTTAATAAAAAGATGCTTGGTGCAAGGTGCAATTTAGGCTTGTATTCCTATATCTATTAGCATGTTCTGTCTCTCAGAATGAGCTTAAAATCGCTCTAGTGTACTTCTCTAGCAAGTGAAAAGTGAAAACCAACAGCCAATTAAAAGATACTGGCACTGGTTATAATATCTGCAATATATTGTAAGGGTTCAAGATAAGTTGGAAACTAAAGAAAGGAGAAGTTAATCTACAAGTTGGAAATTGTGCAAAAATTACGATCGTAGCTGTAGGATCAATTTCTTTAATAATGCCTACGGGCAAAGTACTTATGTTGGATGATTGTTATTACGTTCCTAAATTTATTTCGAACATAATTTCAGCTTCTATATTAGACAAACATGGTTTTCGCATTATTATAGGTAATGATATTTGCTCTATAATTATGGTGATAATTTATATGTGAATGACTATCTCCAACATGATGTATATGTCTTACCTAATGTGAATGTTAATTCGATTATGCATGTTTCAAGTCTTAAGAGGAAAAGAGATGATCATGTAAATCATACATACCTTTGGCATTGCAGGCTTGGTTAACAAGTTGTACAAGGAAGGGTACCTTGACAAGTATGATTTTGAATCATATCCAACTTGTGAATCTTGTCTCAAAGGAAAAATGACCAAATCTCCATTTACTGAAAGTGGAGAAAGAGTTTCTGAATTATTGGGACTAATTCATACAGATGTTTGTGAGCCCATGAAAATTCAAGCTAGAGGCGGATATTCTTACTTCATCACCTTCACTGATGATATGTCAAGATATGGATTTGTGTATTTTATGAAACACAAGTCTGAATCTTTTGACATGTTCAAAAGGTTCCGTAGTGAAGTTGAGAAGCAGGCTGGTAAAAGTATCAAAGTACTAAGGTCTGATAGAGGTGGAGAATATCTTAGTGAAGATTTTACCAGATATCTCAAAGAGAATGAGATTCTCTCACAGTAGACACCTCCAGGAATACCACAACACAATGGTATGTCTGAAAGGAGAAATCGAACCTTATTAGATATGGTGAGATCTATGATGGGGTTCACTGATCTTCCAATAAATTTATGGGGATATGCTTTGGAAGCAGCAACATACTTACTTTGGTATATTATTTCTATCACCCTTCTGACCATAAAGTGTTTGTGGCCAGAGGAGCAACCTTTTTGGAAAGGGAATTTCTTTTAGAAGGAAATTACTAATGGATAAATAGAACTTGATGAAGTTCAAGAAACTAATGAATCAACACAATATAAAGATCAAGAGACTCAAGTTGAAGAACCTTTATTGGATGTTTTAAAGTTGCCAAGGAAGTTGCCATCTTCAACGGTTGAAGTTCAAGAACTAAATGAAGTTCAAGAACAGGTTAATGAACCAATTCCAAACCAAATTGAACAACAGCCAAATCTAGCACAAGGTGAACGGGTTGTACAAGTACCTCTTCGAAGATCTACACGAGAACGTCATGTACCAACTAGATTAAATTTAATGGTACACGATGATGTATCAAACGAGGTTGATCATAATGATGATGACCCTAAGACCTATGAAGAGGCTATACAAAGTTCTGGTTATGAGAGGTGGCAAAAGGCCATGGAATCCATGAAGGAAAATAAAGTATGGACTTTAGTTGAACCTTCGAATGATATAAAACCTATAGGTTCTAAATGAGTTTTTAAGAAAAAGATTGGAGCAAACGAAAAGGTGGAGACCTACAAAGCCCGTCTTGTTGCCAACGGATATCGTCAGAAAGAAGGAGTCGACTACGACGAGACGTTCTCTACCGTGGCAATGCTCAAATCTATTCGGATTTTGCTTGCTATAGCAGCATACTATGATTATGAAATATGGCAAATGGATGTGAAAACAGCTTTCCTTAATGGTGAGCTAGAAGAGGATGTGTACCTGACACAACCTGAAGGTTTCACATCTTCGTCTGATCATAATAAAATTTGCAAGCTACAAAGATCCATTTTATGGACTAAAGCAAGCTTCTCGAAGTTGGAACATTCGCTTTAACAAGACAATTGAAAAGTTCAATTTTGTTAGATGCGAAGAAGAACCTTGCGTGTATAAAAAGGTTAGTGGGAGCACAATTATATTCTTACTGTTGTATGTTAATGATATATTGCTCATAGGGAATGACATACCGGCATTGCAAAGTACCAAGATTTGGCTATCTGAATTGTTCTCCATGAAAGACTTGGGAGAAACATCTTATATATTAGGAATAAAGATCTATAGAGATAGATCTAGGAAGCTGCTTGGACTTTCCCAGACTTTGTACATTGATACCATCTTAAGGAGGTATAATATGGATAATTCCAAAAGTGTCTGTCTACCGATAGGCACAGGAATTACTCTCAGTAGGGAGGATTGTCCTAAAACACCTGAAGAGAGAGAACGCATGAGTAAGATCCCATATGCTAGTGTAGTGGGAGCTATCATGTATACCATGACATGTACACGTCCTGATATGGCTAATGCGCTTGGAGTGACTAGCCGATATCATGCAAATCTTGGTGAGAAGATGGTGAAGACCATTCTTAAGTACTTAAGAAGGACTAAAGACCAATTCCTCGTCTATGGAGATTCTGAGTTGAAACTTGAAGGTTATACTGATGCAAGTTTCTCTTCAGATAAAGATGATAGCAAATCTATTTCTGGTTATGTATTTATCTTAAATGGTAGTGCAGTGAGTTGGAAAAGTTCCAAACAAGCTACAGTAGTTGATTCAATGACTGAATTAGAATATATAGTAGCTAGTGAAGCTGCTAAGTAAGTTGTATGGATGCAAACGTCCTTAACTGAACTTGGTGTGGTTCCTTCAATAAAAGGTACAATTCCATTGTTGTGTGACAACACCAGAGCCATTGTTCAAGTAAAAGAACCAAAATCACACCAAAAATTCAAACACGTTCTGACAATGGATCACTTGATAAGAGAAATCATTGGACGTGGAGACGTCTAGATTTAAAAGGTTGATGAAAAGGAAAATGCTCCATACCCATTCACTAAAGCTCTTGGTGCAAAGGAGTTTGACAAGCACAAGTAAAAATTGGGAATGAAGTATAAGAGCGATTGGCTCTAGTGCAAGTGGGAGATTGTTAGGAATATAGTAGATATGCCCTAGATCCAATCTCATATTTGATGATTTGAACATATTTTTGTAAACGTTATTCGATATAAAAATATAAGGCATTCTTTTATCATAGTTATTATTAATTGTTTGATTAATTTGATAAGGTCCTTGATTAAAT